GTGTCCTAGTGCTCTTTGAGGTTTCCTCATAAACTTTCTTACGACGCCCATCGGTCGATATAGACACATCGGACTTTTCCTCATGGTGGGAATCTTGAACTCGAGGAAGTAACTCGACGGCAACGATATTACTCGGGGATAACGTAAAAGTATCATCGCGTTTGAAAATAGCGGGAGATAGCGGGAGATATAAAATAATAATAATAATAAGAGAGAGAGAGAGAGAGAGAGAGAGATTTATACACGTAAATAAAATGTATTCTCCTAAAAAATGAATCAGTGAAAATATTTCTGACTAAATCAGTAAAAGGATTATTTTATTGATGAATTTCAATGAAAGCCCCCATTTTATTGCTTCGCCTTATCATTAATTTTGACCAGTAAAAGTAAGATTCCACTGTAAAATTTGTTATACGCTACATCAAGTCCAAACTTTGTAAAAGTAAACTTTGTGACGACAGAATTGACAGCTTTCATGCACCTTGCATGTAACACTGTCTATTTCGCGAAGTGCATCAATAATAATTTCGCAAAGTGCTTCAATAATAGCCGCTGCTGTTAACTGATACTTTTAGCGAGATTTTATTGATTGCGATCTGCTATACTTATAATTGAACTACCAGTTATGAGTGTAGTTTTTCAATGAAGAACACACTGATTGTACTTTAGAGACTAACGTGCAAAATGTTGCGTGCAAAGTCGTCATTTGACAAGAACAGCGTAGTTGTCGTTGTCAGTATCCGCGATGAAAAAATTGCTATCGGTCCAGAAACGCCAAAACATCAGCTCGTCTTTATCTCTTATTATGTCATTTTTATTTGTTAAGATTCGCAATTTGACACGTTTCGCTATGACCGCATAACATCCATAAATTGGCACTATTCCCGTGATGCAATCCTGCGCTTAAATAGATTACAGTTCAATAAAGCTTTGCTCCAGCGATCATTCCCGCGCAGCTTTGCACTCCACGATAAATTTTCGCAAATTATCGTTTTGGCAAATATCCTCCGACTAGCTCGCGATCGAATATGAGCAATGTTCGGCGTGCTCTCTGCGTATGCATGAAAACTAATCCTCCGAAAGATTATACAAAAGAATTTTGTGAATGCTCATCCGGAACAACATCCGGACATATCAGGAACATATCCGGTCACATCCAGAACACATCAGGAACGACATCTGGACATACACACACATCCAGAGCGATATCCGAAAATTTCGCTGAACTTCGTTGTATAATCAAGAGCAGAAACCAATTCGGAGTTGATGAATGTTTAGAAGGTTGGTTTTATATCTGAAAAGAAGTGGGAATTGATGGCCGATCGTTAATAAGAATGTAATAAATCTCTCGTATTCCTTCTGTCTCGCTGGTATTAATTAAACTTATTAACTTTTAATTACAATCTACACACTTATGCAAATTCTCGTAACTTTTAGCTTTGCAGGCAATAAAAAAATATTTATCGATATGATTATTTCAGCTGTTAATCTTAGTTTAGTTAAATGCGGTGCTTGTCGTCGTACGATAAGTCTGCTTATGAATCCACCGAGAGATCTAACATATGCAGACAGGTGTAACGATGGTGAAATAAACCACCGTGATCTCAAGCGTAGAGGGCTTTTCTGCCGCCAGGTTGTCTCCAAGTTAACATGTTTACTGTCACGCTGAATTCACGCTGATGCCCCCCCAGGCCTAAATTCTCGGTATATTATGTTAATGATATTTTATTGTTTTCTATTCTATATTCTTCTCTATTCTATATCCTTTGAATACCTATCTTCTTCTCTATTCTATATCCTTTGAATACTTAGTAGAATAATTGCAAACAAATAAAACAGCTACAAATAGGTGAAAAGTTTTCTATGCAGAGACCCAAATACGACTGGCAGTCAATGTGTTAACTCTTTGTTGAAAATATTTTCAAAGTATAATATAGAAAACTCTGAAATCAAATCAGTTAAGAAGGATTGAAAGACTTTTTTTGTATACAGATAACATTTTTGCGTACCTAAAAGTTTTAATTAATTGAAAAAATTTTGTATAGAATTGAAATAAAATTGTTGCACAACTAATAAT